GGTATCTATAACATTTTTAATTGTTGAATTAAAATGATCTACTAGCTCATTTACTGAGATGTTAGCAGGGGCAAGTGTGGATGAGAAATTATGAGTAAACATTTCCCTAGTATTTTCAGTTAAATATCGCTTTGTGGTTACCTCTTTCTGAACATTTTTGTGAACAGAAATAGAGCTCTCAAAGAAAACACAGGAATGATCAGAGAGTGCAACATCAGTCACCACAACCTTTGAGATATTCAGACCCTTTGAGATAATTAAGTCCAGAGTGTGCCCCTTATTGTGCGTGGGCTCCGCCACATGCTGAGTCAGTCCATAGTTATCAAGAACACAAAACAGTTCTTTAGCCCCTCTGTCCTGGGGGTTGTCAACATGGATGTTAAAATCACCAACAATGACTAAACGGTCAAAGTCAATACACACTATAGACAGCAGTTCAGTAAAATCATCAAAAAAGCTTGCACAGTATTTGGGTGGTCTATAGATATTTAGGAACAGAGCTCGAGAGGAGCATTTCAGCTGAAGGGCCACATATTCAAAAGAAGCAAAGTCCCCATAAGATGTCTTCCTGCATTGAATGGAATCATTGAACAAAATAGCAACTCCACCCCCTTTCTTATGCATTCTTTCCTGACTCATAAAACTAAAGTTGGGAGGGGTTGATTCGATAAGAACAGCTGCACTGTTATTTTGTTCAATCCAAGTTTCCGTTAAAAACATAAAATCGAGATTGTGCTCAGTGATAAAATCATTGATTAAAAATGTTTTTCCTGCCAAAGACCTGACATTTAATAAAGCTAGTTTAAGTTTGTTAAATACACTATCAGTACAAAAAATTGTGACAAGCTGTGGCTGACATGGAATCACTGCTAAATTTGATAACCTCACACAAACGTTTGAGCACTTCCTGTTTCTAAGCTGATTTACCGCTCTTAATCTATTACCTATCAACACAGATATCGGCAAAGCTACTGGCAGGCAGGGCCCCGGCATGTGCTGGAAAGAGTTGAGAGTGCCATATGCCCTTGAGCCTGGACCCAGCACATATCAGTAAAAGTTTGTTGCGTTTTGTACACACACATCCTTATCAGGCTTCGGAGACTGCAGATGCTTTCTTGAAGGGATGGGAGGTGGTTGACATAGGCACAGTGATGAAGACGGGGGAGATGGTGCGCGTCTCTGCTTCGGTGATTTTGGTGGGCGTCGTTGAGGGGCGGGGGTAAAGGACATGCTGCCAACCCTGCATCTCGCCTTCATGCGGTCATCGAACTCCAGGGGGGAGGGCGAGGGTGAGCGGAGAGTAGAGAGAGCTGGGAGATGAATGAAGAGTATCCTCCAAGGCGTTGACAGGGGGGGGTGACGGGCAGTGGAGACTCCTCCATTTGTGTCATAGGTCTCCCATAATCAGAACATTCCTCAGGCGGGTGCAGTGATACTTCTTCAGGGTTTTCTGCGCAATGTGTTGTGTCTTTCTCCTGTTTTGATTCCTCTTGCCGCTTGTCCTTGGCAGAGGGAACAGATTGCTGACGCAGGCAGTTGAATATGTTAGAGATAAACAATTTCACTCCTGACTTGTTCAGGCAAACTCCATCTGCCTTAAAAAGATGTCTGCGATCCCAGAAAAAGTTAAAATTGTCAATAAAATGGACAGAATGGTCAGTGCAGGCAGCTGAAAGCCACATGTTCAATGCAAACAGTCTGCTGAATCTCTCCACTCCTCTTCTGACTGGCGGTAGAGGGCCACTGATGAACACCTCCGCATTTAGAGAGCTGACAGTTTCCAACAGACATTTAAAGTCTTCTTTCAGCGCTTCTGACTGTTGTTTCACAACATCATTTGTTCCAATATGTAGTACCACATTCTTCACAGTCGGATGTTCAGCCCCAATATGCAGGATCTTCTCAGCCAAGAACAATTAGCTAATTCTAAACAACTTTTTAAACTATTTATTGGAAGCTGTGGGGAATTAAAGCAGAAGACATGAGCGGAGAAGTATTTTGCGTTGGCTCTTTCCTGAACTTCAGTTTTTGGTGCTCCCATATCAACTGCTGAACTGGATGGTTAACTTTCTGCTGAGAAACATTTGACCTTTGTTATAACAAAATAAACAATCCATGGAATCACACGGCTAAAAATCGATAGTTCTCTTGCAGCTGCTGTGTTGCAATAATCAGATACACTTACACAAGATACAGAATTGTTGGGACACTAACACCCATACCATACATGTCAATCTGAATTAAAAGCTTGAAATAACACAAGATAAAGATTACACAAGATGATAAGTGAAAAACAAGTTAAGGTTTAGCAGCCGAAAGAAGTGAAACTTACTTACAGAACTTTGTGTTCCAAACCAGAAGTCATCATGCCAATGGCAATGATCTTGTTTTTGACTGATTCAACATGATGTTTTGTGTCAGAGAACAACAAACATGACATGGTTCTGTTACACGTTGGTAGCTTAAATACAAATACAAAATATTTGAGATTATGCAAGGGAAGGCCATGTGGCAAGACCAACCAGAGGCCTGTACTACGAAGCTGGATTTTCGCTTAGCCGGCTAAATTCAGGGAAATCTCGGGCTTTCCGGTCCTACGACGCTGGTTCTCTTTTTAGCAGGCTAGATTTCCATGGTAACTTATGCTGAGCGGCAAACCTGCTCCGGAGCAGGTTAGGTGGCAGGCTAAGAGATCAACTCAGTGAAAGCACTGCCTGCTGACCAATCAGAGCTCCGTGTGCGGAGTTTAAAGCGATCAATTCATATGACAGGAGGAGAAAGGAAATACAGTTTAAACTGCCGTTGCAGGAAAGACGACCGGCCAAAATCAACTGACTGTGTGAACGTGAAAATTAATAGAATATCCCCTCCCATCTTCAGAGCAATCTGACTATTATAACATTAGCGTTAAGAAAGCTTACTTAAATATCTGCCACGACATAAGTAACCGGATCAGAGTAACATTAAGTACAGGCACTGTGAGTGCAGACGTAGATGTGTCCCATTATCATTCATATCATATCACATCATAATGTATCATATATTTCCTTATTTGAGTCAGCTTCTTGAGCCGTATCTGGCCGTGCAACACTCACAGTGTCACATACTGTATGCAGAAGTATTATTTTAAGCAACACATTAAATTGACGAAACACTCGAGTCAAATTCTCCTAATTAAAGTCAGATCCACTCGTGTCTTGGACGGGGCAGTGATTTCATAAACCTGTTAATGTACGCATTCAAACACTTTTTCTTTTACCAGCTGTATTCACCTTGCAGGTGCAGCTATGTGGCTTTTATCCTGGGTAAAGTGTTTAAGTCATGGATGTTTAAAATTTAACTTCCTCATATTTGACTAATATTAAAGTTCACTTTTCATTCAGGAAGTATGACGCTGCGCTGTCAGTACGCTTCTCCGTGTTTGAGATTGGTCGAATGCTCCAAATACCACCCCTTTCATGTGAACGCGCACCTAACTAGATAGGACACGGCGGCTTGAGCGATCCACTTGATATCCAGCGTCGTAGTACAGTTTAGCGCCAGCGCGTATGTTTTGGATTACGCCAACCGGCTAACTCCAACATATCCAGGTTAAGTTGAACCAGCTTCGTAGTACAGGCCTCTCGTCTCACCAGAATGCGTGACTCCACCACGACTCCTTAACACCGCAGTGCGTGGTGGAGTCACGAACTTTGCTACATTTACGTGTCTGCACCACGCAAACAACCCCAATGTAAAGTGAATGAGGCTCCTTTGTCCTTAACCCTAGCCCTGAACAGCTCTACGCCAATTATGGGATGTCATCATATGCCGTTGCCATGGTGACAGATCCCTCGCCATGAAACACAGTGTTGTCATAACTCGATGGAAAATGGTCCAAACTGCACCAGACTTCAGATGACAGTTAATGGTCCGGCCCTCAACACATCAATATGACAATAGTGAGTTTTCCTCAAAAGCTGTTGCCATGTGTGCTAACCGTCAAGCCCTCGACACACATATATGTGTCAGTTTTGAGATTTCGTCAAATGTCGTTGCTATGGTAACAACATGGTCGCCGTGAAACACGGTTTTCTCATAACTCCAGTTAACATGCTCCAAACGGCCCAGAACTTCACAGGTTTGATAACGATGCAGCCCTCAACACATCTAGGCATATTATGGGGTGTCATCAAATGCCGTTGCCATGGCGACAGATCACTCGCCATCAAACACAATGTTTATGATACTGCTGTAAATCCCATGTACGTTGTCCGATCGGCCTGAAACTTTCCACGTTTGCCAACGTTCGAGTCCTCGAGACACCTAGACACACACCTCGACGTGCGGACAACAGCCTGCGGAGCGTCGAAGACCCGCTCAACGCTGCTTGCAGCTTTAATTGTAATTTAATTTATTAGTTTCACACTTTGAGTCAGTCAAAACTGTAGCCTTATCTTACTACTGCTACATTTTAATGTCCCTTCAGGGATGTTTCTGAAGTGAAAGAAAATAGACTTCAGTTACTTAAGTAAAATGGAAATTAATCAAACGAGACACCAATCAACACCCATATCAAAGTCATTTTGAACAATGTTCTCCAAAGAAAAAGGATGCATTTGAAGACAACATATTTCTTATTTGATTAAATTCCCTTTCAGGAAAATATGCTCACTTTTTAACTGAAGGTGGCTGTTTGAAAAGTTGTACATACAGTTCAAAAAGAATATTGAAATGTGCATATTTTTAAAAGTCATGAGCTTCAGTTTCTGCTGCATAGCATGAGTGGGTGGCTGCGGATCGAGGGGTATTTTTACAGCTAGTGATGACTCGATAACAGGGGTCACTGCGCATTGAGTCATGTAACTACATGTAGTACAAATACTGTGCTCTTTACCTCACAGCAAAATACCATTAACATTGATCAGAAAATGTACATTTTAAACGCATTTACAGCTGATTTACTCGCATTCTTTCAGAAGGAAGAAAATATCAATAAAAAACGATCGGTACAATAGTAATTAATTGTGTTCAGTGCTTCAGAAGTGCAGTTTATTTATTTGGCAGCAGATTGTCTCCGGATTCAGACGACTTTGTTGATAACCGAGCCCAATTGGTCTATCTGGCACTCCACCACGTCTCCTTTCTGTAAGGAAAAAACAGTTAAAACCATGTTACAGACTATACAGAGTGCTTTAACTCTGCATCATAGAATAAACACATTTCATGTAGCCACTAAGTTATTTGGTTAAAGTGAGTAACACAGCTAAAGATACAAATATGTGCCTTCTTGTAGAACATTTATTTTTAATCTCAGTTTCCCACAGTAAATCACCTTGAGAAAGATGGGTGGCTTTCTGAACACACCCACGCCTGGAGGAGTGCCGGTCAGGAAAACATCGCCCGGAGTCAAGGTCACAAATCTGAGAGGAGAAGAAGAAGAAAGGAAGTGGAGTTTCAGATTCAGGAGCAGGAATGGGGATGACTTGCTGTTCACTGTGGAGAGTTTGCCATGTGGAGTAGGTACACACATTTAAATCTGCTAATGGCATGCAAAACAATAACTTCCCAGTGTAGCCTTGTGAATACAGAGATCCAGTGATTGGTGCTGTGGGCGGCCATTATTACAGAACAACAGGCCCTGTCACCAGTAAGTGAGGCGAGGAGGGAGAGGCCAAGCATCTGAGATCTGAGCGCAGGTATTCAGGGTGCTGCAGGGCTAAAAGGGTGCGTGAGTCTTTGTTGAAGCATGTTTTAATTTTCTGCCTCAAGTCCATAAAGAGGAAAGGCACTTTGCTCACACAGTGCTCCTTCTTAATAAATTAATTTCAAACATGATCTGATATGCATAATTTCTCAAAGAGAAACTTTGCATTCAGCTAGTAAAGCAGAAAAATGTATAAGGCCTGAATAAATGATGTCTCATCTGTATTAAAGGTCTCCTCCTTTATACTATTTGTAGGCATATTCTATAGTTCTCATACAGTATATAAAAAACATGTCCCTAAAGTGTTTTGCTCAAAATACCAAACAGATCACCCGTTCTAGCAATGCCTCATACCCCTCTATTTCAGCCCTGTTAGAGAAGTGCTGATTCCGTGTCCGTAGCTTTGAAAATAAAAATAAAAAGCTTATGCAGGAGAATTCTACCCAGATACTCAGCTAAACGCTGCCGTGATTACATGCCATATCATGTTCCAAACTGCATCAAGGATTATTTCTGAAACAGTATGGCGCTCAAATGCTTATTTTCTCACAGGTTTACCACAAGGTAAGTTCCTTTTTTTATTTCCTGCTTTTTTACACATGCTCTCTCCAGTACAGCGTTAGCTCTGAGTGTTAGCGATGCTTGCTAATGTAAACAAAGACCATATTATGTCCAAAACACGTCGCGCATTGTTTCTGATAGGGCCGTGGGCGTAAAGCCAGCCCACATTTCCGATATTACGTCATATCGGACGCAAATCTGGATCAGCTCCGTTGAACCACCGTTTTTAGAGATTTGGGTACGGAGGAAAAGAGAGAGGGTTGTATTTTCTGACACTTTGTGAGTTCCCTGACACACCGGGGAAAACATACTTATGTATAAAAGACATCAAAAAGTGCATTTTTTGCATAATAGGGGACCTTTGAGATAAAACATGCAAAAAGACGACATCACATGATCAGCAGAATGAACAGAGGACTCACTTTGAGACCCAGGCGACCAGCGCCTCCGTCCTGAAGATCATCTGATCCGTGTTGCTGCTCTGCACCGTGTCTCCGTTCACCAGGCAGCGCACCCCCAGACTGTGGGGGTCTGCGAGGAATGACACAAAAAAAACAGCATCTTAATATATATGTTATTTTCCTGTTTGACACTTAGAACTCAACTGAAGGAAACTCAGTTATATTAAATTAAAAAAGGCACATTTTGTTGCATCAAAACTAGGACTTGAATAGGTATTAATAAAAGCTCCTGAATATCTTTTATATTTTACAAACTAAAGCTAACACGGATGACGGAATTATATTTTTTCACAGAAAACACTCACCAATGCTACCGTGTCAATTTTAGAGAAAGAACTTTGAGTAGGTCATTACATATTATGCTAAATAAAGATCATTTATTACACTAATATTACCCATTGGCTGTCTTTCATTCTTTGACTAGTGTGCTGTGAAAAGGGTGTCAAAATTCAAATTAAACCTAATAGTAGCCATTATAATTTTAACAAACTAAGTGGGATCAACTCTGGTATTAGTAGCGAAAAATATTTGTATACATTCAGAAGAGCTGCGAGTAATCCTATAGAATCAAACTGATTAGTTTGTCTTTCTTTATCTCATTAAATAAAACACGGCCTTTGTCAAGTCCCTTAAATATCTCTTTAATTTGCAGATACAGTTCTATACACAGAGCGAAGAAAAAACGATGTGAAATATTATAATGATTTTGTATTACAGGGACAGTAATGGTGTAAGCCATCATGTTGAGCCTGAATATTCATATTCTGGACTTAATCTGACATTTTATGTACTCTAGATTGATATCACCACATAAAGATGCTATAAAGATAACACACATTAATCAGGAATGTTTTCAAACCAAATAAATCCATTCTGACTTTTATGAACTATTATCATAATTGCATGATTGCCCCATCTGCCTCCCTCTCAGCTGACGTTCTCTTTCACTCTCACCTTTCACAGCGTCAGTGGTCACCAATGCCGGGCCAAGAGGACAGAAGCTGTCAAACGTTTTTCCCAGCAGCCACTGCTTCCCGTTGCGCTTCATCTGCCAGTCTCGTGCGCTGACGTCGTTGGCCACCGTGAAGCCGGCCACGTAAGAGAGAGCGTCTTCCTCCTGAGCGAGAAGCAAGAGGCGTCAACAGATGCTTCACCACCAATCATAAGATGATGATGATGAGACTTTTACCTTGATGTGTTTTCCTCTTCGTCCAATCACAAAGGCCAGCTCCACCTCCCAGTCCACCTCCTGCAGTCCCAAACATCCATCAAATAAAGTTATAAGTAAAGTATATTTGTGCATTGAAAATTATATGGATATTAAAATTGCCTCCATATGCTGCTTAGACAGCTCTAATAAGTTCAAACGTAATATCCTGAATAATTAGATTTTTAAAAGACATTCATAACCACACATCATCTTCTGTCAATATAAACAAGATGTTGATTTGGTCTCCATGAACTTCAAAAGTGCTACCCCAAAAAAGCATGTACCAACTATACATTTAAATTGGTATGGACTTTTCAAAAACTACATGAAGAGACATTCATACAGTACATGTATTCATCTCTATCTATAATATCCTACAAAAGAAGAGAGGTTAGTCTTGACCCATAAGCTTCATAAAGTCTATGATTCTAAGACAAGAAATAAGCTAAATTGTTCAAGATGGGCAAAATGAGTCATCCATCTCCTGTGGATAGTTTTGATTGCTTATGCTTCTCTTCGCACTGCACAATTACTCAAATTGAATTCATCTGCTTGTTAAAATGTTAAGAATTGTAATTACTTTTGACTTTTTCCAACTGAATCTGAATGTTCAGCCAAGTGCAAAATCTCTGGTTCAGTCCCACTTGAATTACATAAAGAAACTTTTTTAAATTAAGAAACACAACTCAACATAAATATTTGGAATCCAATTCATTCATGCCTCTATACATAACGCTTTGATTATTGCAACGCCTTGTTCAACTGCCTCAACAAATCTTCTCTAGCTCAACTGCAGCTTTGCAGAAACACAGATCACACATAACACCGGTTCAGCTTCTCTGCTCTCTAGTATTGATTTTAAAAGAGTCTTTGAGCCCTCTGACCACAGCGAGGAGCAGAAGGCTGAAAACTAAATGTCCCTGAAACATCCTTCCTAAAAAACGAACCAATACACATCTTTAGAAAGCAACGTCAAAGGCATTTGTCTGACTTTGTCTATCTTATCTTAGTTGTAGTCCCCTGTGTATCTTTAATCTCTTCCCTTTCTTTTTTCTTGTTGTAAAACACATAAATAACCTTTTTTTTGTTCAGAAGTGACATACAACTAACGTTTCCCACCTGGCTCTCCGGGGGCAGGATGATGTCGTCGTACGGCCCGGTGATGGCGCTGGGAAATTTGCTGAAGATGATTGGTTCTTTGGGGATGGGGGCGTCCTGCTCCAGGCAGTGGTCCCGGTAGTTCATGCCCACACACACCACCTTCTCCGGGGCCAACACAGGAGACAACAGCCGGATGTCTGACCGCTGCAACACACACTGACCCGAGGACAAGGCTCTGAGGAAGAGGAGGAGGAAGAAGGTGGGAGGAGAAGTGAGAACACAATGATGTGAACGTTTATGGCAGAGTATGACAACGATGTTGAGGCAGATTAAGTTGTAGGAAACAGACGCTAATTCAACAAATCCATTTAGGAACACGATGTTTTTTCTCCACAAGATGATGGTTTTAATGATTTAGGAGAGATGATTTATCAAGAAGATGAATTGTTAATTAAGGGAGGAACAAGATGGTGATTTGAGAAGAGGACAATTTAGTTGATTGAGCAAGATGGTGATTTACCATCTGTGTTTTACAATGAGTGTAATTTATGAAGAGGGTTTAACAAGGATATGTTCAACATACAAAAAGCTGACAATTTATGAAGAGAAGATAAAAGATGGAAATGATTAAGCAAGAAGGATGTTGATTTGAGAGATCTATTCAGGAAAGAAACATGCACATTTAAGAAGATTAAGGTAACCTGGAAGATTTATTGAGAAGATGTTTAGGAGGAAGAGGGATGTGATAATTAGGGAAGATAATTATGACTGATGTTCAATCATGACGAAGAAGACGGCAATTTATGAGCAAATGTACATGGAAACAGGAAAGATATGTGTTGAGACTGGATGTCTGATACCTCTGTGCACACTGCAGACCCTCGTCTCCCAGCTCCAGCAGCTCTCTCATGGTGGAGGGCATGGAGGGGTCAAAGGCCTTCAGGTCCACCACGCCGAGCCCCCCGTCCCCCTGCTCCACCCCCACTCTGATGCTTCCCTCCTCACCATGGCGATGAAACTGCACTAGACGCATCCCTACGCCGCTCAAGCCTCGCCTCTGAGGGTGTGATGTTTGTTTCCTGTGAGAAATTAAACTCCTGAAGATGCTAAAAGAGCGAAGAGGAAGTCTCATCTGTGGACGATACAGGAGGGAGAAGTGATTAGGAGAGGAGGAGGAAAATGTCAGAGAAAAGAAAATACAGCAAATTAGATTAATTTCTCTGAAGGGGTCTTATAGGCTTACATAAATTATGTATTGCCCTTTAATGTCAATTCACAACATGTCAAGTGCCATACAATAGTGGACACCAGCACGTTTTCAGAAATTGTAAAGTTGATGCTGGGTGTTGTCACATAGAGCTATGCAACTGATTTCTACGCTTTGGCATTTTCCTTTGATAACACAAACAATGTAGTTTATGTTTTAGTTTGGTGGATTTGTTGTCCACAGCTGACAGTACATTTGTGTGCAAATGTGTATGATGGAATTAGACAAACTTAGCTTCATGTTTCGGCATAGCTGAGTTGCATATCAAAACAAAATTGAGATTGTTCGTTAGAAGAAAAGTTGATTCCAATTATTCAGCTCAAATGTTTTGAATTTGGATAATAATTGTGCGGTCATTAAATGCTGGCCCAGACTACAGTTCAGTCTACCCATGGGTGTATTTACTTATCCTCTTAGATGTATGTGTTAGTAGTTTACCCATTTACTACTCACTAGCTGTGGACTTACACAATCTCCATGTCCTTATGAAACACATTGGGGTTAGTTTAGACAAAAGCGGCTGAAAAGCTGAATATAATGCAAAAACGAAAGGTTGGACACACAACTTTTGTATGTTCCCTAGAAAATTAAAACGAACTTATCAAATTTCCAGGCTCAAAAAGATTTCTTCTGAGCTTCTCTGAAATAAACTTTACAAAAGAAAAGTTTAAAATTGTAAGAAACTCATAGTGTCCTGAGCTATACTAGCTACACAAACTAGATTTTCGGTTTGAAGCTGACAGGATTTGTACTTGACCTAATTTGTCAGCATATCTGCAACAATGCACACTTATCAGAGCCGGCTATCAATTAATAATAACGCTGTTAATCATAACGAGGACCATAAAGGCATGAACAGCTGCACCGAGAGTAACTTCTGCCTACCTGCAGCTCGAACAGAAGCTTGGCAATATGATTTTTAAACCTGAGATCAAATGTAATTTAAGGAGGAGTGTGACACTGTTATCTGCCACTGAATAACCAGGTCAGGTGGTGCTTCGTACTTGCCCTTTGTACTGTCTTGCCTCCCCGGTTCTGCACAGAAAACACTTTTTTAAACTACTTCCGGTTATTGCTTTCATGAGGTCAGTCCTGTAAGGACGCGATATGGATACTCAACGGAAGCTAACGGCAGAGTGTAGCAGTCATATTTGTAATATGCTGTAAATAAATAAATTATGTGTTGGTTTTAAAATCTTCTGAATGGCGCTTTTGTTGAATAAACTCTGGAAACTACAATTCCCTACTCTATCCTTTATTGCGCCTTCATGTGCAATGGGAACTTTCAAATGTTCACACAACCACCGCAATTACAATAAATATGTGCAGTTTTGTGGACCAACAAACAACATTGAATTAGCGTATCTTTGCTAGAATACACTTGAGGTACTTCATCTGGGTCCTTAAGAAACTACTGACTATTTAAACACACGAAAGGTAGCATTTTACGACTCAGATCGTTGGGATTACGAGCTCCGGAAAGCCCGCGAAGGCAGCAGGGTGCATTTTAACGGATCATGTGACCAACCGGAGAGACAGAAGGGAAGGAGCCGTTGTCGCCGGCTATCAGCTGTCTCTTTCACCCTGAAGAGACCAGAGTGGAAGGATTAAAATGTGCACCAGGTGAGATTACATCAGATTTTATTTTAACTTGACCTGCCTGATGCTTGATAGGCTTTAGATGTTTTCTAACGTGCAGCTTTGTGCATGAAAACTCGGTGAAAACCCTGAGAGGGTATTGTTTGGTAGTTGTGTTTTATGTCGTCATTTATTCAACTGGATTTATTTAATCATTACATTTTAAGGTTGGTGAATTAATGTATCTGTGCTGTGGTGCTTCATTTGTGGATTCACTCGCAGAGCAATGTATATAATCTGATCCTCTCATGTTGCAGTAGATCTGCTTATTTATGGGTTCAGTTTACACTAGACGGGCCCACACAGGCTTTTTGTCATTTTCTCTTTTTCTGCTGATTTTCACTTTCAGCTTGAATTGACTTCCTTTGCGCAATTGTCACATGATACCAAACATCTCTGGCCATGTTTTTTTTTTTAAACGGACTTATTAACGTGTTCACATCATTATCATACACAAACTGTGGACAATGCCCCTCATGATGTGCGTGCTAAGTACACCGTTTTGATTGGGGAAGAACAAATGATCCTGTCACCAGTGTTGGACAAAGTACACACAGATCCTTTAACTTAAGAAGCAGTTATACCACAGGTTAGAAATACATTGTTATCATTCATTCAAATGTTTACTAAGAGTTGGCAGAAAATATATGAAAAGCAAATATATTTTATTAGAGGATTACATTTACTGATGCATTAATGTGTTCATCCCTTTAATGTTCCAGCTGTTAAAGAGGGAGAAAGGTTGATTACTCTAGATTTAGCTGGGTTACTTATAATAACCATACCAATTTATATTAAATCTGAATCTGCAAAATACCCTGTAATTCCAGCTCTAGAAAAAGATAGATAAATGTAGTGGAGTAGAATAATAAAGTAGCATTAAAAACAAAAGTAACTCAAAATGCTACTTAAATAAATGTAATTAGTCACATTCCTCCACTGCCTGTCCCACTCTTTTAAAAGCTGAAGCGGATCTCAAAGGTCTACATGTTTCCACACTTTGACCCTCTCCGTTATCGTTAACCTGCATTATAGAAACCGATTTGAGACACTTATTGCATCACTCTGTCTGAGCTATCTCAACTTTTGCTGACAGTGCTCCTACAAGAAGAGGAAATAACTTTTCTTTGCATGTTTCTCTGTGCAGCGTCCAGCCCATTGAATGGACCTCCGACCTCAAAAACCAGAAGTGAGTAATAAGATGCTGCACTTCCTCCTAATGCCATGGAGTTGGTAGGTTGTTTTTAATTCATTCTTACAGGTTTGTTAGATGATGTTGTTTTCTTTGTTCTTAGTTTTGATGGCATCGTGTTGGTGACCCAGAGCCATGACCCGCTGCCATCCGAGCTCGAGTTCCTGAAGGCACCGCTGCAGGACTACAGCTCTGTAAGTCCATGTATTATCTCACCTGAGCCTCCTTTGGAGCTATCATATCTGGAATCAATTGACATGACAATACATTCTTATGTAGGACTGAAAAACATTCTTATGTAGGACGATTTTGGGACTTTAAATTAGCAAAATGTCTTCATGATATTAACAAATCTTAATAAAATGTAATACTGCAAATATTTTTAACCATCTTATAAACAATGAAGACTGCTTCATTCATTTCAAAGGGTCATCTTTTACTGATACTGTGAACAAAATTGATTATAAGAATAAGATGGTGAAGCTTTATTTTGTCTTGCATTGTTTTGATTGTAAAGTCTAACAAGATGTGGGTTAATACGTTCTTATTAAGTGTTGCTGCTTCAGGTGTAGTGTGTGACACTTTCCTCTTCTGCTCCTCCTCTAGGTGGACAGTAGTTTGGGGCAGGAGGTGGTCATCCTGAAGGTGCCTGGTCTCCCTGGTAACCGCCTGGTCTTTGCCTCCACCGGCCCTTTGAACCGTGACTATGACGACGTGCGGCGCTTCAGTGATGCAGCCTGCAACGGCATCAAGAGGTCAGTTGATGGAAGATTATTTCCCCCTGTTAGTGTGTCATATTCCAGATTCACTTCCAGGTTTCTTTACTTGTCTCACTCACCTGTGTGTCCTCTCAGGGCCTTGAAGGCCGGCATGCAGCGCCCCCTGCTAGTCTGCCCCCCCCACAAGGACTACAAGAACAGCAGCATGGTGGCTGCACTCGGAGCACTTCAGGCTCTCTACATGGTGAGAAAATAACTCCTGCTCATACAGAGCTGACAGAGAGGCTCCGTTTCTATGATTCGACTACAAGTGTAGTGATTTTAAAGTAGTCGTTAAGGTTGCTTTGTCTTCAGCTACTACAACTGAAATATACATACTCTTTTCCACTTTTTAAGTATTTGTATTTTAGTGTTGAGCACACTGGTGCTGTAACAAAATAATCTGTAATACACCAAATCTATTTGGTGTACTGTATTACACATTTCATTTTAATAAAAAACATATATATATTTTTTTTTTCGACTGCAATGCTAAACACCTCATCTTTTACTTATCATTATGATGCAGATTTAAATCCCACCAAATCCACCTAAATACTAGATCTGGAAAGGCAAATATATGCATGGTAGAAATACTCTATTGTTCTCATCTTTCCCCCCCACAGCCCCTGGAAGTGAGGGAGTGGAATGTGAAAGCGAGCGACCACAAGGTGTGTGTCCTGGGTCTGTGGGCAGCCCAGGAGGCTCATGGGAAGAGGCTGGTGGAGCTGGCTGACGCCCTGGAGAGTGGCAGGTGGGTCACACGCTTCAGTCCCTGTTAAAGTGGCTCATGTTGTGATGTTCCCTGGTTCACCAGCAGCTCTCTGTCCCCCCTCAGACTGGCCTGTCGGGACATCGGTGGCTCTGACCCTGAACGCATGGCCGCTCCTCGCGCCGCTGAATATGTCCAGGAACTCTTCAAGGACAGCCCTGTGAAGGTAGCAGGAAACATTATGTCCTGATTCTCTTGTTTTTTTATCAAGAGGTTTTTATCACTGTTGACTTTATCATAACACTGTCACAAGCCTGTCAAACGCTTTCTTTACTCAAGTACCTTTTTCAGCAGCTCTCCTTTATCACTGGCTCCATTTAGGCTTTCGTCTCGCCTACACATAACATTCATGCCTCTTTCATATATGTACACATTTTATTCAGCAAGGTATTAACAGTCCTGTTGCATGAACGCTGTTGTCACGCGAGCAGAACACGCTCTGGACACAGAAAATCAGGAAAAATGTGTAGAAACAATTTTAAATCGCAGACCAGGACAATTTTGTGGGAGTTTGGTTCTTCTTTAATGTAAAGCAAGTTTTTGTAAACAATGTTTTTGTAATCTCCAGGTGGAAGTGGTGAGCAGCGTGAAGGTGCTGGAGAAAGAGTACCCCTGTCTGGCTGCAGTCAACCGCTGTGCCGACAGTACGAGAACTTAATCTGTTTTGATCACTTATTGAAATGATTTTAGCTATTCCCACACCTATTCATGGCTTCTCCTCCTACAGGTGTCCCTCGTCACAAGGGCAGAGTGATCAAGCTGCAGTACTGCGGAGAGGGGCCGATCCAGACAACGCTCATGTTGGTGGGAAAGGTGAGAGGAGACTGCCCGGCTGCTGCATGTGAACCGCTTTAACATACAAAAAAGGTTATTTATTAATAGAAACAAAGAAGTGTCCCTTAAAACATTGTACATTTAACATGATACATTTGATATGATGGTAAGTTGTCTTCATGTCATCAGCAAGGCTTTATTTAACACATTTTTGACATTTCATCTACTAAACAATTATGAATGATAAATTCAGCAAACATAACAAGCTTTAGTTGCAGCACTTCTTTCAAGCTAATCAGGGAGAAATGTATTGAAGGAACATTGGGTTTGTTTAAGTATTGTCAGAAATGTAGCATGTATTCTATCTGTGTGACCGACTGCTTAAAAATGACTGGCGGTTTTTTCCAGGGTATCACCTACGACACAGGCGGAGCCGACATCAAGGCCGGGGGCTTCATGGCCGGGATGCACAGGGACAAGTGTGGAGCTGCTGCTGTGGCCGGCTTCTTCCAGGTAAACAAACCCACCCCCTCACCTCTCTGCCGCTGAATATTAAACTTTCGGAGAGGTCTGCACCTCACGACTTGAACTAAAAATCAACATGGGGGGACGAATATCACAATGCTCTCAGTCAAGATGAACAAAAAGCATCTGAGGTGAAAAGAGATTAATTTTAAGAGACAGAGATTAAACATGGATGGTGAAACTTGGAAATGTAATGCCTCTGCTGTAAGTTTGGAGCTATCCTTCTTTCCTAACCCACTCCTGCTCTCTAGATTTTAGCCAAGCTGAAGCCAAAACACCTGAAGGTCATCGGCTCCATGGCCATGGTCAGGAACAGTGTCGGTTCAGGTCAGTTTTATCCACTTTTTTCCCATTGTGCATGTTGCTGTATGCATTTCTATGAGTAGGATCTGTGTGACATCGTCTTTGTGTGTCTGTGTGTTTCCTCAGACTGCTATGTGGCCGATGAGCTGGTGGTCTCCCGTGCGGGCCGCAGAGTGCGAGTGGGAAACACTGATGCTGAGGGACGCATGGTGATGGTGGACCTGCTCTGTGAGATGAAGGAGAAGGTCACTGCACCCCTTTTTAATACAGTATTTGTAAATCTTAAACTCCTTTTTTGGTCTTCTCACTCTGAATTGTGTGTCTGCAGGCAGCTACTGAGAAGTGTCCTCAGCTGTTTACCATCGCTACTCTCACCGGTCACGCCATCAGAGCCATGGGACCCGATTACTCTGTGAGTCCTGCTGAAATACTGCCACAAACTGAGATGAGATTACTAACTCTGGATGAAAAGACGTTAAAGATTGAGATATTAATCATTTGTTTCCGTTTAGATCATCATGGATAACGGGCCAGCCCATCGCAACAAAAACGCTGCTCAGTGGCAGAAAGGTGAGAGAACTTTAGGAAGAATTTAACTGTGAAAGTTCATTTTTGACATGAGGAACAGTTTTTAGGTTTTTCCAAGGACTTTGAGCTGCTTATCATGACCATCATCAGCAAACAGGTAATAATGTGACCTCAGGTATAAAACACATATGGCAACCTGCTGATGAAGACTTTGAAATGCAGCTGAAAACTCCAGAAAAAAGCTAGCACAGATTGTTTTGTCAAACTATACGGATAACCTTACCTAAAGGTAATTAAATGCACTCTTTGCCTTGAGCAAATTGAGAGTTTAGCAAAAAAACTAAATAATAATTTAATCAATTTATTGTTTGTTGATTGTAAGCAAATTAATAAAGATGTATTTGTATAAATGACAGTGATTTAAAGGATCATCAACTATGTATTACTTATTCCCAAATACAAATAGTCAATGCGTTTCTTTGTTAAATATCATTATAAAATGAATGGGTTTTTGGTCAAACCCTGTTAAGACATATAGGCTGTTCTTAGGTATTATATATTCATCATGACTTGCAATGCCATGGACTGTGCAGCAGATGCAGCCATGTGGATTGTATTAAATACTTATTTATACAATAAATGATTTCCAGCACAACTGCTTCATATCTTTGATGCTTCAGAGAGCTTTATTTCCTCCATCACAACAAACACCTGTTCTCCCTCCTCCCTCATGCAGCTGGAGAGGCGCTGGGCGATGTGTTCGAGGTGTCCACCATCAGACGAGAGGACTACGAGTTCCACAAGGGAAAGTCTGAGTATGAGGACATTCTGCAGTGCAACAACCTGCCGTCCTCCGCTACACCTCGCGGACATCAGACCCCTGCAGCTTTCCTCATCATGGCCTCTGGGCTCGACAAGGTACTCACACTTTGTCATAATAATAATATAACTCTAAGTATGAAGAATTTAATGTAATTAACTTGTATGATAACTTATATTCCAGCACGGTGTGGACTCTAAGGCCCCTCTGCCGTACTCCCACGTTGACATCGCCGGGTCCAGCGGTCCTTTCCCAGGGGTCCCAACAGGATCCCCCATCCTCGCCATGGCAACCCACTACATCCTCTCTGATAGTCTCTAAACGGATACACCAGGAACATAAAGATCTTCTGCACTCTATGCCAACACACATTTGGAACCGTCCAAATGAAAAATGAAATCCCTGCCACAACACATATTGCAAATAGTGCAATGTTTCTGTCTGACATTCCTTACAATGTGTTCACTCTGATAACTTTTTTCTGCAAGAATATTCTTCACTCCCTTTCTAAGATCTTGTGAAGTTTGTACTGTCTACATCAAGTCTCAATGACCCTGGCCTAAATCAACATGCGTAAATATACTCAGGGGTTAAATGGCAGTATTAAAATACTATCCTTTTTATTCGTGTCTGTATGTGTGCGACAAACAGGGGTTGTGTGGGATGCTGTGTGTCAGTGAAACCAATCACTTCTAAATGATTAATAAAACAACATTTGAAATTAAAATGTTCTCTGTCTTCTTTCTATATAGTTAGTAGTTGCGCATGTTTGCATAACATGCATAAGATTCCTCAGAATCAGGGGAGGAGTATAAGAAGCAGACATACTATGCCATACTTAAGGTATTGGCATATTATTCAGCAAGGTATTTTATTTTGAACTGCTTGGCAGAAGGAAGAAAGTCCTGTAGTTGTTGAAGTTGTAAAATGGTTTGGAACAGAATATTCGCTAATGTATTTGGGGTAAAAAAAAAATTACAACCATGTGTTTAAGATATTGGTTTGGGGTTGCAACGTGGCACATTTTTTATTTAAAACAAAAACTAGGGGGTAATGGAGAATAATAATAGTCAGCCACACACAGTCCATTATCCTCGCAATATAATAAGTTACATTTTGTCGGATAAATAGAATCAATGTTTGTTATTTGGACATTTGCCTGCTGTTATTTTAGCAAAAGGGTCAAAGCAAACTCGGAAAGTTCTTTAAATTGACTTTTGACTCCCTGACTTGAATAAAGTTGTTTTTTTTGTCGTTATGTCTGAATACATCCATGGTATCTGCTCTTTACAGAATTGTCCTCTCCAACATGGCGGACAGCAGTGCCCACCACTGATGTTCGCGGTTGTGACGTACCAACAACGGACACGGAAATGACGCAAAAACGCCGAGTCATTATATACTGACGTTAGCGCGCGCTTACAGCTCAAACCTTCCTCTGCAGTGAGAGTGGTGTCTGCGTGCTGCACTTTTGCCAGCTCACAACACAAAGACTGAACTTCTTAAGGAGTTTCTTGCTCTCACACTCGGTGATAACTCAATTTGCCAGCCTCCACACTGCCGGAGTAACGCGAGTAATCTCTTAGTTTGAATCTACGCAGACTTAAAACTCCAAAGCAACCATGTTTGAGGCTCGCCTGGTGCAGGGATCCATCCTGAAGAAGGTGCTGGAGGCTCTGAAGGACCTGATCACAGAGGCCTGCTGGGATGTCAGCTCGTCCGGCATCTCCCTGCAGAGCATGGATTCCTCTCACGTCTCGCTGGTGCAGCTCACCCTGCGGCACGACGGCTTTGACTCGTACCGCTGCGACAGAAACCTCGCCATGGGAGTCAACCTCAGCAGGTGCAGCACACTTTAAAGCTCATTTAGGCCAGAAAACATTCAAGTGGTACATCTGTTGCGTTGTTTAGGATGTTGGCTCGCATATAAATGATGCATTTGCTGACTCATGTCACACTAGTTTGACAAGTCGAGTTGCTGAAGTTTGGCGCTGTTTGAATTCATTAAGAACAACAGAGGTTTGGTTTGTGTGCTCGTTTTTAATGCTCCTCACAAACTTCTAGCGTCGCACACTTTGAAACCCGTCGCTTTAGTTTCTTTTATTAGCATAAATGAACTGTCTATTATCTGAAGCTTACAAAGATGGTGGCCATCTTGGCGGAATATTGCCCGGGCATGTCTCTACTAGAGTGTAAAGTTAACTCTTCACTCTCTGTGTTAAAATCGTGAAGTTTGTGCCTGAACTATTTACAAATAGCCCGATTGGCTTAACAATACTTTTCATTTTGGGTGTTCAATAACTTTACATTTGGTGCAGTGCAGGCGACAGCTGCATTGTCATTTATGTCGCGACGTCATTTGAGCGCCAAATTTTCCGTGTGGAGGGATGGCGGGAATTGTTTTCAACCCGGGAACTTTCACTTCCGTTTCACTGCCACCCCGCTTTTAGTCACTGAGCTTTTTATTACAGTTTCCCATTATTTACATAAAGAAACATATGAAATACAGATGTTAAATCTGTTTCCACATGTCAAGATTATTATAGGCACACACGTTGTTCATTTATTGTTGTTTATTTTCAAGCTTTTTAATATGTAATTGTATAGGTATTTGGTTTGCCAAAAACACTTCAGATATCAGTTAAGATATCAACTTTTAAATTGGAGGTTTTACATGTATTATGTTCAATCACAATTAAGTAATTGGGAAGTAACTGACTGATTTATTGATGATGATATATCATACAATTGCTTATCAGCCCAAAACCTTAACAAATAAACCCTCAGAAAATGTATTGTAATAGAAATTCATACACACACTTAAAGTTGAAACTTTTTTTTATTTGAAATTGGATGTTTTCTAGTTTGTAACAGTTTTGGCTTTTTTCTCTCCCGTACAGTATGTCAAAAATCCTGAAGTGCGCAGGAAACGAAGACATCATCACCCTCAGAGCAGAAGACAATGCAGACACACTCGCACTCGTGTTTGAGACAATCAGTAAGTTATTGGCTTTAAAGCAGAATCAAAGCAACTTGACAACATTTTCTTATCAGGATCAAATTGTTTATTTACCTCTTTTCTCTTCACTCTTGCAGACCAGGAGAAGGTCTCAGATTATGAGATGAAGTTGATGGATCTGGATGTGGAGCAGCTTGGTATTCCAGTAAGTAATTTTCGTCATGTCCTTTTCTTTAATCGCTTTAATTTCATCCAGTGTTCCTAACCTTTCTGTCTGTGTCTCTCCCTTCAGGAGCAGGAGTACAGCTGTGTGGTGAAGATGCCCTCCGGGGAGTTTGCCCGTATCTGCCGTGACTTGTCCCAGATTGGTGACGCCGTCATGATCTCCTGCGCCAAGGACGGAGTCAAGTTCTCCGCCTCTGGAGAGCTGGGCACTGGAAACGTCAAACTGTCCCAGACCAGCAACGTAGACAAAGAGGACGAGGCCGTGAGTAATAATTATAATAACAATATTGATAGTTGTTTAATATATGTATTAATAATCTACAGTGTAGCCAGAACAAGTATCTGTTGTTAAACATCATTGGCATTTAATTTGTTTGAGTTTTCAGTAATCTAGCATGACGAGTATCTTTTGGTTTTATGCTGAGCAACTACTACAATAAATGTCTTTGAAAAACTGTGGGGACAGTTTTTCTTTTTCTAACATTGATGGTCCAACTATACAATTAATAAGTAGTTTAATTTGATATTATGGTCAAACAATAGTTGCAGCCCAACTGTTAATGGTTAGGTATCACATCTCCAATCAGATTACTTGTATGTGCAAATAGAAAGACTATGATAGTTTTGCCAGTTCTGCAAATGTATGTTTCATATTTTTTCATTATTAACAAATTGAAAAATATATATCGTTATACAAAAACAAGATATTTTAAGAAGTCACCTTGAGCTAGTTTAAAATAGTTTATTTGCTGCCCGTTTGTACTGTAACTGTTGTGATGGCAATATGTTAAATTGGACATCTTTTCTTACTTTCCGTTTGCAGGTCACCATTGAGATGAATGAACCCGTCCAGTTGATCTTTGCCCTCAACTACCTGAACTTCTTCACCAAGGCAACGCCTCTGTCCAAGACCGTCACCCTCAGCATGTCCGCTGATATCCCCCTCGGTAAGTCCTTCTTTTCAGTGTTCAGAGTTAAACTCTGCGTTTGGATTTTAAAGATGTGACCGGAACTGAAACTGTAGTGGCTCAACTTTTTGTGTTGTCTTTCTACAGTGGTGGAGTACAAGATTGCTGATATGGGACACGTCAAATACTACTTGGCACCCAAGATCGATGAAGAAGCTTCCTAAGTTGTTCAATACCGGCCAAAAAGGGATAATAGAGGAACGCAGGCGACTGGGACTTGTTCTGAGTGATCTAAGGGCTGAAGTGATCACATGGTGGTCGATGATCTCTCTGAGGTCTATGAGATTCACAGCAGTGTAGCTGTCGGCTGCATGAATGATGCTTCAGTGCTTTGACTCTGTTCAAAGCAGCTGGCTGTGATACAGACAGACCTGATGTATATTCCAACACTTCACTTCAACTTTTGTGTGTCTCTTTTTGCCCAGTTTGGAAAAGCAGATTTCAACTATCCCATTCCTTCTTGTAGATAATGCATTTGTAAATACTTCCTGTGGTTTCGTCAGTCAACCCCAAATGTTTTTTGTATTCATTGACTCAATCCAAAATAAATAAAATGATTCAAATTGTTTCCAATATTATTTTTGTGCAAAACTTTTGGACATATGCTGTGCCTACAGGTCTTCAAAGGGATTCGGTTTGACCTCATCAAAGTTTGTTAAAAGTCCAGTCATGATTTTGAGTATTTTTAACCATCTTTCTGCGCTCTGTTGGACTCCTTTTGATCATAAGAAACCCCATAATCACTCTAATGATGACCCTTTCACTGAACATTAATACTTTACTCTAACTCTTAGGTCTATCGGTGTAAGGCTTCATTCTGGGTAAAACAAAATTCTGTTTGTACTTTCCTTGATCTTGAGTGCAATCCAAAACCGTCCCGGTATGGAAATTCATGTTTTGTATTTATTACATTAAAAAGTATTTACTAGGATGGTGGTTGTGGAGCTTAATGAACTGAAACATGGAAATTAATCCTACTTTTGGCACAACTTCTTTACTTGGCTGTGGCTAAAATAATATACTGAAGGCACCGCTTGATTCTGCTTTTTTACTAAAAAATTCTATGATTTTATCTGAGCCTGAAACTTCCATTTGAATAAAGCGATCAAAGCCGTTCAGAGTGTAAATGTACCTAGAGGAATTTAACTTGTAGACATCTGTGCTTAAAAAGCACTTTTAAGTTAAGAACAATTTCCAAAATATGGTACCGGAGTTGATCTCTGCCGCAGGAACCATGTGTTGCCACTGGGTGGTGCTCTTTTTCTACTTTTTCTTTTTGTTGTGAAATATAGAACATTATTAAATCGTAATCACCTGTCAGCTCACATTTGTCTTTATTTTGAAGAAATGTAGGCTAATCTCAATTTCCATTTGACAGTTTTCCCCTGTGCGAGAGTTTCAACAAATGACAATGGGTATGGATCTATATATACAGTCTATGGTATGGATTCATGTTGTGATGGAGAGTACCTGTCAGTTATATCAGATTGATGAACTCTCAAAGCTATGACCAATGTCAAGGACATGTTGCAACTGCCTCATCCATTTCATTTATTCAACAAAGTAAAAACATATTTTGACATTACCTTACCTGCAGCTCAGTGAGACAACTGAATAATCAAGGATTTAACTTAAACTGCCGGTTAATGTGTTTTTCTGCAGCCAGACACTTTTAAATCCTCACTAAGCTTTAATCTGACTGGCAGCACATCTGGCAGCAGTCTGAACTGAACTTCCCCACTGTACACAGAGCAGTGTCTAAAATGAAATACTGTGACAGGAATAGAAAGGGACCAGCTGGTATCTATTGCTGCCTGTCAAATTGAATGCCATTTTCTTTGGTTTGGGCTGCGTTAGAGAATTTTGTGTGGAAGCCCACATCCTCCAGTGATGATACAAACCCTGCTGTAAACCTTTTTTGAGAAACTTTCCGAAAAAAAGGTATACAATCTCAAAACACGTTTCTCAAATATCAAGTCAATATTTTTAGAAAGTTTACCGTTATTTTGGAAAGAGTAAGATAATGTTTAAGAAAGTTTAAAAAAAATTAACTATCAAGTCAATATTTTTCAGAAGGTTTCTTATCATTTTTGAGTTATTGAGTCAATATACTGAGAACATTCCTCGTTATTTTTCAGATATGAAATGTATGGAAAATTAAATAATTCTTTTCAGAAAGGGTATTTTTTGGAAATATCAAGTTATGCCATATACTATGGTAGTACCATGGTACTACCATGATACCTCAGATATTAAATGGCGTTTTACTCGCATATTTAGAAATATCCATACAGATTTACCCAGTCACAGACACAAACACACATGCATTCGAATATACAGTTAATGATCAAACAGTGAGTTTAGATAACAACAAAGAGGATTACAAAATGTATTCAATATAACAATATACAATACAAGACATCTGCCATCATAAATTCAGTTTTTCCTAAAATGGTAACTGGTAATGTATCCAATTGATACAATAGTCCTATAAAAAAGCAATAATAGAATAAAGAAAAACACATTTAAATCATCACACATACCGTGTGGACATCTGGAGACAAATTGAGACTCAACAGTTTGTGCTAACCCCCAAACATTTAACTTGTCTCAAACACAGGCATTTTTATCACATATAACTTACCCCCATGTTCAATTGCAATACATTTAGCTACTATGTCCTCACATGTCAATACACACAATTCATTTGAGATCTTTACTTTTACAAGACATTTTGCAATGTTTGTATGGATCTCTGCATCATAGATAGCTGGCTGTATGTCTTCCTGCTGCAATTGCTTGTAGAAAACAAGAAGTTCTCTGCAACAACAGTTTGCACCTCTTTCACAGTTGCAGGGTTTTGGTACAACAACCAAGGACTCTACCATACCAACGCAATTTCATGTTTCTATTACTGAATTATTTCTTTTGAAATTCATACTGTAGTTTCTGGTGGTGACCCCTGGGTTTCCCTTTGCCAAACCATAATGTATGCAATAGAACATTTTTACATCTATCCACAAATGGTAATTCATTGATAGTACACAAGATGGGCCAAATTGAAGTTTTTGATGAATTGAACACAGGGGCGCCATCACAATTGAAGGTTAGTGTAATACTGTCAGTGTTAACTTCCTGAGCCTCGCGTCTGTATTCACTTCCAGTGTTGATATCAGAAATGGAGGCATCTCTTGTGAAATGCTTACCTAGCTTTGATTGGACATTGGCAATCTGTTCAAGCTCTGCTGGCACACCCCACACTCATTACCTGGTTCAACACCGAGGTAGTTTGTACATCTGGGACAGTACAAATTAATTTCTGTTTTGTCATTATAATCAAAAAAGTATTTCTCTAAAAACCACACTGACTTTGGCACACATCCGGGCACCACAAAGTTTAGGAGCTCGAGGAGGTGTTTGGTCGCTGCTTTTGACAGGCCATGTTTCAGGATAAAAGCCTTGAGAAGAAGAAGGAGAGCTGCCATTGTAACTGAAGAACCAGCATAGATCTTCTTCTCACCATTGAAGGTAGGGTCAAATACATGCATCTAATAAAAAGGACAAAACATTATATGTCAATACCAAAATAAAATGTCTATATTTTCAATATTTAAGTTATCTCACCATTGGATCTTCGGGAGTCTCGTCACCAGATGGAACTGAGTTAGCTCTATCTTCATGCTATAATACAGAAGTTGCAGAGATACACAAAGTTAGTTGTGATCATATCCAGTCCTGTATTTAGGCCAGGTGCAGAAGAGCATTTTCCCTGGTAATTTATCCTGTATGTCAAGTTTCTGTCTTACAAATTGAAAATACCACATGTCTGAGGATTTCTGTAGCTTCAACCTTCACTGAGTTTACAATATGCTTTAATCACATCACATAAAATAAATATCTACCATAAAGTTGAAACATGAACCAACAGTGGATACTGTGTCTACATTACATCAATTTGCATTTCATGTGGACATGTGGACATCTCAATCAATCAATGTTTATTTATATAGCCCAATATCACAAATGTTACATTTGTCTCAGTGGACTTCACAGTTTGTACAGAATATCAGTATGACAATATGATACCCTCTGTCCTTAGACCCTCACATCGTACAAGGAAAAACCTCCAGAGAAAAACCCCACAGTTTAAAGGGGAAAATGGGAGAAACCTCAGGGAGAGCAACAGAGGAGGGATCCCTCTCCCAGGACGGACAGACGTGTAATAGATGCCGTGTGTAAATCGAAGAGATATAACATTTTACAGCGCAGGTGGACCAAATGTTTGGAAATGCATGTGTCTATAATAAGAAGATGAATCCACGAGGATGTCAACAATCCTGTGGGAGCCATCAGGGTAGTAGCATGATGAGAGTCAGGCAGGACCGCAGAGACAGGTTCAGCCACGACTCGAAGTCAAGGACTCAAATCCAGAACTCAGGATAGAGGATCCAGGACACAGGAGTGGGGAAGTTTAGGAGATATATAGATTGGCATATATCTCCTGAACTTTCCCACTCAATCTATCAAGACCCGAGCAGTTCTATTAGAAGTCCAAGGTAAGGCACGGGCCGGCGCATATCGCTCAAAGGAATCCCTCGCCATATGAACTTTGACCCTTAGAAAGTAAAAGTGAAGAGGCACAACGTGTCAGCTCCCTTTAGAATAGGTCTGAGATCAACAGGATCAGCCACGACTCAGGATCCCGGCGTAGATATAGACACCAAAAAGAAATTTGGGGGAAGCTGGGTTATTCGGAACATGAGAGTACACAGGTACAGACAGACAGAAGGAAGAAGTAAGGTGTCCCACGACAGTCTAAGCCTATAGCAGCTAAACTAACGTGTCTACATACATGCACTCCCTTAGGATAGGTTGAGGGATAAGGGGTAGCAAGTAAGAAGTAAGGAACAGAGGTGGAGAGGCACAACGTGTCTACGTACATGCACTCCCTTGGGATAGGTTGAGGGAAAAGGGTAGCAAGTAAGAAGTAGGGAACAGAGGTGGAGAGGCACACCTGGACATCTGGTCTATATGTAAATAGAAGATATACAAGAACAGAATTCAAAATATAATATTGTACAATGAAATGAAATTAAATACTGTTTATTGATTTTTTTGTTAAGTCAATATTTGGAGAACGTGTCTATACTTTTTTTACTTAGACAATATTTTTTTGAAAGATAACCTTTATGATTAAACTAATTTACATTTGTATCAATTTTTTTATTTGGCGGAAATGGGTTTCTATTTAAAAGAGCTCGACATGGGGAGACAGGTGAAAAGATGCAAGCTAACGGCTACAGCTAAACAACATTGGCTTAGCTTGTTTTAGCTTAGCACAACACAAATACAGCTGGAGAAAAAGTTACTGCCAGCTGGCTCTGACATAAAAAAAATGCGCTTACCAGCCATAAATAAATCTCATTTATTGACTCGTTATTATATTTCGTTTGTTTAACTTTTTAAAAAGCTGAACACCAAATGATGGGTAGTTATTGTCACTGCCAGGTTCCAGTAAACTTACAGAAACATGTAGATATTAAACTGTTGATTTTTACAATAACGTTT